GATTTGTTGGTTAATTTTTGTTCGTTATTTCTAAATATTTTCACTTGTGATCTTTATTGATTCAACTTGTTAATCAAACATTACTTTAGTAAGATAAAACCCAAAACTTTTCTTACTAAAAAAACGAACATTCAGTTTGAAATATATATTTATTTGTCCGGCTTTATTTAGATTTGTTGGTTAAACTTTGTTGATTATTTCTGGATATTTTCACTTGTTATCTTTATTTCTTCAATTTGAAAATCAAACATTACTTTAGTAAGGTAAAAGAGGATACTTTTCCTGTGGAAAAGAAAATGCTTGATTTTTAAATGCATTCTTGCTCTTTTATTTAGATAATAAGTAGTTATTAATGGAAAATCTGTCAAGCAGTCAAGTGATTACTTGGATTAAATCATTTATTGCAGATGAAACAATTGTTCGTTTTTTTCAAGGTATGCTTTGTTTTATATAAGTTTGCCGGAATTTTTGGACGAATAGGACTGTAGATGATAGAACAGAGCCTACCATGGCTGTAAGCGTAGAAAGTCTTGTAAAAAATATGTTATGTTGTGGGTTGGTGATATAAAGTTCGCGAAAAAATGTCTAGGAAGACATTTCTACTTCAAGAGTGAATCTTATTTTGTTAGATTGACGCATGTTTCTTTTAATAAAACTATATTAGATATTTATAAAGAAAATTACTTTTTATCGCGTTGTAAAAGAACAAACCCTTACAATGAGCGAAGAAATGAAACATTGTTTGTTGATATAAAACGCTCTTTTTATATTAATACGCTTCAAATAATAGTTTATTATATTTTGTTTAGAAAAGAGCATAGTTCATTATTTGAAGTTTTTTTTTTTAGTAATATAACTATTTTTGACAATATCGTATTATATAGTTAAAGCATCCCTGCTGTTTGAGTAATCATTATGCCTGAAACACATTACTTTTGTCCTCTTTGTATTACTCCAAACGTTTTTAAAAATTTTTCGTCGTTATTCGAACATATTCGTGAAGAGCATTATGAAGATCCGTCATTTGGTATTCGATGTGAATTAAGTGTTTTTTGCGGTTTCCGCTATTCAACGTTCAATAGTTACCGTCGACATATTTATCGTTGTCATCGTTCTCTTATCGACTCTTTGGACACCAGCAATGATGTTATATCATCGAACATTGACGATATTACAGATGACATGGAAGATTTTTCTTTAGAACTTTTATCTAACAATCAATCGAATTTTATTGATAATCCCGAATCTTTGATTTATCTGGAGGATGAAGTTGGTGAAATGGATTATAAGTGTTTTAATTTTGATCCAACAACTACTCCCATTTGCGACGACAATTTGAATTTTCAAAAATTTACCGAATTCTATACTCGTTTTCTTCTCGAACTGCGAGAATATCACTTACTTCCGCAAAAAATCGTACAATCTATTTCATCTTACATTTCCACTTTACTTGATATGATTGTTAAATTGATTAAAAAAAAAACATCAACTGCCACCTTTATATCAACTAATGATTTGGATACAGCTTTCGCACAGATTAATTCAATTATTAATTCTATTTCAAAAAGTGAATATCAATTCTTAAAACAATGTAAGAAGTATTTCAACTATGAAGTACCAACTGAAATTATCTTGAATACAAGTGAAGAACGTGCTTATTATATACCTTTAAAACAAAGTATAGGACGCATGCTTCAAAATGAACAATTATTGAAGTCTATAATTGATAATATCAATTCTTTGTCGAAATATGTAGCTAAAGATCAAGATCTGATCTTGTCAAATCGACAAGGTCATTCAATTATATCGAATTTATCTCGTCAAGCAAATCCAAATGTCCTCTTACTTAAGCTATATACAGATGGGATCTCTGTTACTAATCCTCTTGGTGCTAAACGAGATTCCCACAAGTTTACCTGTTTTTATTATCTCTTGGACGATATGCCAGAAATTATTCGTTCAAAAGTAAATTATATTGGATTGTTTTGCATGTGTTATACAAAGCACTTAAATGATCAGAATAGTCGAACAATATTAATGGATGTACTGGTAAATGATTTGAATATGCTTCAAAATGAAGGCATAACAATTGCGTGTCCTTCGAGTAGAATATATTTCGTTTTTTCAACTGTATGTGGTGATAATTTAGCTGCCAACGAAATTGGAGGATTTCAGAAGACATTTAGTTCAGGCAGCTTTTGCCGACATTGTTATATTACATATGAACAACGACTTATTCCATTAACTGATATATCATTTGTACCTCGAACTAGATCAAAACACGACATGATTCTCCATCAGATTATCAACAACAACAATGATCAAACTATACAAGGGGTTAGAGGTTACAGCTGGTTTAAAAATCTAATAGGTTTCTATCCAACTGAGTCATTACCACCGGATATAATGCACGATGTTGCAGAAGGCAATAAACAGTAACGTTTTTGTTTTTACGCCAAAAATTATTTTTATATCATTCAGGTTTATGTCCATTGATCATCGCTGTTTTATTAAAAGAAGCTGTACAAAAACGTATTTTGTCGTATGCCCAAATTGAACAGCGTATATCGAACTTCAATTTCGGATTCAATGATCTGCCTAATAAACCTCCACCGATAAAAAAGCAACATTTGTCTAAATCAAATATTATTGGCACTGCTAGTCAAAAGCTATGTTTATTTAGATTTCTGCCTATGATTTTTTATGATGTTATCGGTGATCTGGCATTATTTAATCTGTACACGATGTTACGTGAGATCATTAGCTATCTGTATGCTAATATCATCCGAAAATCTTGGTTACCATATCTTGATGCGTTATGTAAATCGTTTTATTCATTAATGGTTGAACTTTTACCTGATCATATAACACCAAAAGTTCACTTTCTTACTGAGTATTGTCGTTCGATCGAAAAACATGGCTTACCTATACTGAATTCTTGTATGCGATTCGAATCAAAACACCAGTATTTTAAACAAATCGTTAATCGTAGTCTCAATTTCAAAAATCCTCTTCTCACTATGTCTAAACGGCATCAGCTACGTCAGTGCCTGTTAAACAAGTTAGAATCGTCTTGTTTCTCACCACCTATAACAGTACATTCATTCAAGTCAACTGAGTTTTTTAAATTTTCGATTCCAATTCAACGTTTATTGCACAAAGATGTTAGTCAAACTGACTCAATATATGAAAGTTTATCTGTCTATTATCACGATATTAATATAAAACAAAGATCTGTATTTGTTCATGATCTTGTTCATACGGAAGAAATACCAATCTTTTGTCAAATTCATCATTTATTAAAGATTAAAGACAAATGGGTTGCAGTTGCAGAAAAATTACATACAAATTCTTTCAATGAAAACTTATGGGCTTTTGAAGTTGAATATACGGGAAAATTAGTTAAAATCGAGATAGAACATTGCTTAGATTTATTCGCTCATTGTCTTGATATTTATACAGTTCAGCAAACATATTACATAAATATATTAACTCGTTTAACTAAAAGATAAAAAACATTCTTCTTTTGTATACTGTTACACAGCAAGAAACAATGTTCAGTTTGACAAGCAGTTGACTCATAACTAATATTTTTAAAAATCATCTGTTAATTATAAAAATGATTAATAGAAAAAATTGTTTTTCATATGCAACGAGAGATAATAATATTAGAAATCAACCATTCATTTTATTTTTTTAATTTTAATTTTATTTTCATTTCTAAAAAATTTTTTAGTTGTTGTTTTTTATTATGTTTCTTCTTAAGCTATATCGACAATGAGAAGTCAATCAGCTATAACATGTGAAATGTGAAAAAGAAAAACATTAAAAAAAAATAATAATGATGCAATATAAATTAAAATCTTAAGATTTTACACATGTTAAATTTTCGGTTATAGAGAGACCATTATCAGAACATAAATGAAATATAATTTATATAATAGTTCAATATATTATAGCATGTTGGCAATAATAATTCAAAATGTTAGATGTTCTATCATCATTTTTGATATAACAGTTAAAATTATATTTTTAATGAAATTATTCCCTAAATAGGGAAAAATATACAACATCTTACACTTGAATTATTATCGTCACCATGTTATAATATATTGAACTATTATATAAATTATATTTCATTTATGTTCTGATGATGGTCTCTCCATGACCGAAAATTTAACGTGTGTAAAATCTTAAGATTTTAATTTATATTGCATCATTATTATTTTTTTTTAATATTTTTCTTTTTCACATTTCACATATTATAGCTGATTGACTTCTCATTGTCGATATAGCTTAAGAAGAAACATAATAAAAAACAATAATTAAAAAATTTTTTTAAAAACAAAAATAAAATTAAAAATGTAAAATGAATGGTTCATTTCTATTATTATTATTATCTCTCGTTGCATATGAAAAACAATTTTTTCTATTAATCATTTTCACAATATAGAAAAATCCATGTTATATAAATAAATGTATTATATGAATCATCTATTAACTTTTTTTATCTAAATATTTCATTTTTGTGTTTAGATGAAGATATCGATGGTGCAACTGTACTTTTACTACAACAGGAAGATATTGTGAAAATATTTCCTCGAATAAAAGACCGAGTAAAATTTGTTGACGAACGTAAAAAATTGATAGAAAATTTCAAGGAACATCGTACAGATACTGATGAAATTACAGGTAATCTATTCAAATCAACATTATCATCTTCCGCATCATCATCATATTTTTTAGATGTACCACAACATAATGATTTACCAAATTCATCTATTTTAGTAACGACTGAAGAAAATCAAAATGATCAAACAGGTGATGATATATCATCAAATATTGATTGTCATGACAATGATGATTTTCATGCTAAATCGCGGCTGCCCACAGATTATACAGGACCAACTTTGTCTGTAAAAATGCAATATTACATTGATAAAAATGATCTTTCAAAATTTTATCCACATACAGCTTTACGTGCTGAACTTCTATCATTGCTTTTTGACGATGTCACCAACATACATCAATTACTGTAAGTCATTATTGTTGATAATATTTCCCACCTTTATATGTATCTGAATTTAGTTATCCTAATCACGATGAATATATAGTTATGGCGAAGTCTATCGTTCAAAAACTATCCATTCCACCAGCTTTAGTTCGTGAAGTTATAGTAAGGAAAAATAATAAATTGATTCAAATTAAATATTTTCTCTTTCTATAGAAAGAATGGCATGAAGCCATTAAGCAAAAATTTAAACGAGAGCGTCGACCTTTACAAATGGATAATGATTTAGCGAAGCATAAACAAATTCAATATGGTAATGGTAAAACAAAAGGTCGACCAAAAAAAAAAAGCGTTGTTGCACAAGCAGAACGTCGAACGAAAGACATAGTAAGTGATAAAGCAATTTTGTAAGGTATGTCGTATTGAATATTTTAATAGCCATTTATAAATTTAACTGATGTTCAAAATGAAAATCTTTTGTCTTTGGCTAATCAAATGAAAATTGAATTACGTAGAGATAATCCTGATAATAATGTTCTTCATAAACTCTGGCGCCAATCTTTTAATACTCGTCGTATACATGTTCGTGAACTTCCAATAGATCAATTACTTGAACAATATCCTGGTTATCATAGTGCAGATTTGGTGAGAGATTTTAATAATAATTAATTAAGAATTATTTATCAAATTAACACATACATATATATATTTTCGTTTAATCGCTTTTTAACTTGTTTCCTTCTAGCTCTTGGCAGAAGTAAAAGAATCTGTTGGAGTCGATCTTAATGAAAATGTTGAAGTTTTATTACCGAAATTTTTCGAATGTTTACCAGATAATAATTGTTTTTTATCGGGTAAGAAAGATCTAAAACAAAATTTGAAAAAATGTCAAGAGAAAGATTGAACTAATATCTATATTAAGCTCAATAATCTTGATTTTCTATATATTGCTTAAGAACAAATTCACCATTCCTACAGAATAGTTTCAAAACTTGAAATATAAAATAAATTTTGTTTTAAAGTTTTGTTTTAATATGCCATTAGCTTTGAAAAAGATATATATTTTAATAATTATAAAAACTTTCTAGATTCTTTCTTTTATCCTTATCTTCTAAAAAAAATTAAGTTTTCTAAGAGTGTTAATGTTTCGGGTTTTTTTTATCGTAGACGTGTTGCCAATTCGAGTCATTCGAATTTTATGCAAAAAGTTTGGTGAATCAGTTGGCAATGTTTTCACTTATCAAGTAAATTATTTATTTATGTATTCATTATATAATGCGTTTTTAAACTGTATGCATAGGAAGTACTTGTGCCTTATCCGTGTATAAAAATTCTCGAACACAAGTTTGAAATTTATCTTGATTTTCATTTTGTGACAGAAACAAATTTATGTTCCACAGCTATTGCCCTGCTCTTATCACTTTATTATGTATTTGAAATTCAATTTGCAAATCATAATAGATGTTGTAAACTTCTTTACAGCATCTTATTTGAAGATGCACATTATCTTAATAAATCACTGAAAAACTTGTTAAGTACTTGTAATTATAAAATTATTAATAAACCAGTAATAAAACGACAAGCACTTGTTATGAACACAACTGAATGTTTTACTCAACCATCAACTGATAATGAAAATATATTATCTTCATCCAATAATTTTACTCAAGTAAGTCGTTTGATCGAGCTTTAAAAGAATAATACTTCGAGATCGGAGTCTTACTAGGATATTAGTCGCATCGTTCCAAAAAAAATATCTAGACTTAAATAAAATCGATATTTTTTATAAGAAAAAA